AGCTAGGGGAGGCCCAGGACCAGTTAAAATAATCGTCACCGGTGGTGGTGGTGGCCGTGAGCGGGAATCGAACTCAGGTCGCCGGGTTCGTAGCGCGGTGTGCTCACCACTACACTACAATGCGTAATGCTTCCACATGCGCGGGTCACGTGACAGATTTGACGTCACAGCTCATTTGCTGTGCAAAAAATCTATGCATTATTGAGCTCCCCCCCCCCAAAAAAGTGTATTTTTATAATATTTGCATGGTGTACAATCTGGAAAGTACCCACATGGCAAATTTCTAGTTTATTGCATGTCGGGAAGTATGCTAAACATTTTGAACAGACATATATTCACAACTTTGCCTTTTATATATATGGAGATTATGTATAAATAAGGCAAAATAGAGGCTAATGGTACAAATGAGACGAAATAAAACTTTAGAGACACAAAATAAACGAGATGGTACAAATAAAAATATATTCTTGAACATATTCGTAATGAGAGACTGAAGATCAGGGACAGTGTTCCTAAAAAAAACATTTACCTGCTCGATGAACTTGTACGATTTAGCATGGTAGGCCTCTCTCTTTCTTGGCCCCATCATTTCCTCATTCCGCTCGTCCATGAATTCTGGGATTGTGCACACTTCCCAGTGCCAGACGACACACGCAGTGTGGTGAGAGGCCAGATCGGATATCCCACACATCAGAGCTCCTTCTCACGGCCTTCATTAAAATGTAAATAAAACAATGGAGATATAAGAATAACTATTTTTTTGACTTTTTTAATGTAACACATTTTTTTTTACTCCACCTTCCAAATTATTTGCACCAAGTATCATAAACAGTGTAACAAACTCTAGTGTGACCACAACAACGGGCTAAGCAATCAATAATCATAAACCATAATTTTTGCATGACGAACACTGAAGAAAAGCGTGAATGGATTCTGCAATGCTTTCCAATGTGTGTGTCCTCATACATATATATAAAATTAACGTGTACTACTTGCTATTACACATGAACCTTTAATGAATAAAACGAAACAAAATATCAATAGCACATAACGAAGCATGGAGAGATGTATGCTTGGAGTTACAATGAGAGGTATATAGAGGGTCACATGTATTAGAGAACATACACGGGATAAAGCCATCATCATAACCGTTAAGATAAGTAGACTTGACAGAACATGTCGCTGGAAGGGATGAAGGCTGGTGGGCGAGAACAATGGTGCAGTGGCATGGTGAATTGTTCCTGTGCGTCCTAATGGGTTGAGCTCCGTTGAAAATTAGGTTGCTTCTCCCCCACCGCCATATTGTGTTACCTTCACTCGGAGGCAGGAACGGCAACGCCACTGGCTCTACGGGTTCCCACTCGACTCCGTGGCGTCTCTGAGAGACCCATCTCGGCTGCTGGCCCTGCTCACAATGGAGGCAAAAAAATTGTCAATGCCACAGTTTAAATTTACCTAGACAGCAAAAACATTAATCGCTATGAATGAAACCATACACACACCGATATAGACAAAGCACAAAACAAACACAAAGAGGTGAAATTAAGCGGAGTGACATTGACCAGGTTGAAAGGGTAAGGCGTTAAAGAGCCACCTCTAATATTATGTAGAGATTCAACCGATGAGAATAGGTTTTCCCCTTTTTTTGGCAACAAAACAGATGTTTAAGATGTTAAAACACCAATCTGAACCTTTTACAAGGAATCATGTCTGCATTAACCACAATACTTGTGGTCAGAATGCAAACAAAAAACACTCTGATAATATATGCATTTCGATTTAAAGCTTTCGTGACTGCAAGGATTCATCTTCTTGGTTCTTTTGGTAAAGTCACGTAGAATGAGAATAAAACAATTAAACAAAATAAGACAATAAAATTCTCACGACGTGTCGGCCACAACACAAGTAGCCTTCTTCAGGTGAAGGAACAGAACTGTCGGGACGACAGCGCTTCATTGAACGCAGCACGGTTGGCTCCGTACGGTGCGGAAGAAGTTCAATGAAGCGCTGTCATCCCGACAGTTCTGTTCCTTCACCTGAAGAAGGCTACTTGTGTTGTGGCCGAAACTTCGTGAGAATTTTATTGTCTTATTTTGTTTTATTCTACTTCTACGTGACTTTACCGAAAGAACCAAGAATAATATATGCATTGTCTTTGAAACTGATTGGTCCACACCAGAGAGCAGCTTTCTTTTGAGCCTAGTCTCAAAACAGTGTTAGGCCAGAGGACCCCGGAAGGCGTACAACCTTAAACCTAGTTTAAAGATTCAACCTAGTCAGAACTGACGTCGATTAAATAATGTGGACTACAGACTTACCTCATTTAACTATTCAGACCTCTTCCAAAGAAACTGGAGAAATACTGCTTTTTAAGGATATGCAATGGGCTATGCCGAATTAAACGGATGTGCAGTGAGACTTGTCTTTTTAATTGACTGTGGCATACGAATGACCTGACGAATACGGTTGGCTACGTACGGTGCGGAAGAAGTTCAACATAGACACATACTACAAGATGACCGTGTTAAATTAAGGAAGGTAATGAGAAGCCACCAACTATTTGTCGATATGGCTCAAGTAACTCAGGAAGGAGTTGTGACATTATGACAATAAAAGCGGGGTGGGGGATCATATGTAGGGAGCTTGAGCTATCGATCTGTCCTTGAGCACAGAACCTAAGTCGGGGGCTGTACTGTCACAACAATCACACAATGTAGCCAAATTAAGTGCAGAAACACATTTCATACGGTGGTTTTTTTTTACGTGCAGTCACTGGCGTCCCAGCTGATACCACCAATAACTCACTGCAATGGAAAACTTTGTTTAACCACAGGCATCTGGCTGGATTCGAACCTAAGATCTCAGCCGTATCAGGACTGACCTCTTGTAGAGACGTATGTCCAGCATGTTTAACTTCTGCGTACGTTAGCCAACCGTGCTAATCGCAGGTGCGGGGGAATGCAACTAAGTAAAATGCAACAACAAAAATTCGTGCAATGATAAAATCGCCTCGTCTAAGGGACGTGCCGTGGAGCGCACTTCATCCACCGGGGTCTCCTGCCTCTGCACGGGCCCAAGCAGGGCCCACGTGCCGGGCGTGAGGCGATGGTCCGCCGCGGGCCCCGTGCTGTAGTGGGTGGGGAAGAGGCTCGATGGGAATGCGGTCAAATCGTAGCCCCGAGGCCTCTCCATGCCCAATGATCATGGATCCCGACTGCACGTGGAAACCTGGATCAGAGGGAGGCGGGGGGGGATCCAAAGGTGTTTAACAAAAATACTGCTGACCCCATAGAAGGTGCAGAAAAAAAAACCCCAATTGCGATACAGTACTTCTATGCTGCCACATCTATGCTACCCGCTCTCACCGACCCGCACTGACCAACGTAAAGTATGGTCAAACAATCCCCATGATCAACAAGGCGCGGAGAGAGAGAAACCTTCGTCCGGCAGTGGATTCAAGGTGGGCTGTGAAGTATTATTTAGTTTCACTGCAGTGCGTAGGAGTAGGTCATTGTGTGCCGGCGTCATATCCAAAGTATAAAATGTAACAGCAAATTACTGACAGGGGATTATGCAGTACCCTCCTACTGTGAGAACTTGACAGAACCCTCCTGAAAAAAAGAGTTACGAGATGCGGCGAGGCATGTCTGGGTAAGCAATCGTTAATAGTGCAGTACTCACAACAAAGATTCCCCGTGTAGTCTCAACAGAGACTGTTGGGGCAAGCGATGTTAGCGAGCGCCTTCGTCTCCCTCGTGGCGATGTTTACACACCGCACCAGGTACTCATTTGAGGCCGAGTCGACCTAGGAGAAGCTTAGAAGCGGAGTATTCACGACACCCACGTTGCCTTCAACAACACCGAAACACCGTTACGCGTGCTACGGCGAGCCCTTTGCAATCAATCCTCACCGAAATATATATTTAAAAAACGCGTTTGGTTCTCACACATTACGTCATGCGTTTTACAACAGAATCAAACTTTTATTCTGCTGCGTTTGCAGGGGTGTAAAAATAAACAAAAAACTCAAACTATTTTACCTTTCAAATCGCTCGCCGACGACACAAATTAGAACTCCAAAAACAAGCTTTGTGTGTTTTTTTGTATTAATCGTAACAATCATCATTCTCATCCCTTTCAAACTCAGCGGCCACCTTCGGTCGTGATCTCGAACGCGGGGTGCCGACCACGAGTGTCCCTCTCATGACGTCACTTAAATACTTTCGAAAAGTCACCGGGAGGGGGGTGGGGAGGAGGGGGGTGGGGAGCTTTTACCCTTAGGTAAGGTGGCCGACGGGAGTAGCTTCCCACTGATTGGCAGCTAATAAGTGCGGGCCATCTTAGGCAGGGATCTCGAACACGGGGTGCCGACCACGAGTGTCTATTTCATGACGTCAATCAAATGCTTTCGAAAATCTACGGGGGAGGCGGTTGGGGGGGAGTCTTTCCCCACATCCCCCTCCCTCCGCCTAGGTAAGATGGCCAACGGAGTAAGCTTCTCACTGATTGGCAGCTACTGATGGCGGCCATGTTAGGTGGGGATATATATTACGCGGGGCACCTACCGCAAAGTGTGGCTTTGATGACGTCAATCAAATGCTTTCGAAAATGTACAAGGGAAGGGCGGTGGGAGGGATTATTTCGCCCCCCCACCCCCAGGTAAGATGGCCAACGGAGCAAGCTTCCAACTGATTAGAGGTAACTAAGGGCGGCCATCTTAGGTAGGGATCTTGAACGCGGTGTTACGGGCCGCAAGCGTGACTTTGACAACGTACAATTTTTATTTCAAATGTTCTTGTTGTGGTTTTCACACCTGATGATGATTTCTTGTGTTGAAATCGAAACGTCCTGAAAATTGTATTGTTTTATATTTTTATTATTTTATTGTTTCCCTTCTACGTGACTTTACCGAAAGAACCAAGAATTTGACGTTACTGAAACGCCCACCCCTCCCCACGTAAGATGGCCGACGCCCGGTAGCTTCCCACTGATTGGAAGCTACCGGACGTCGGCCATCTTAGGTAGGGAGAACGAGCGCGAGCGAGAAACGCCGCGGTGGTGAACGTGATAGGAGCGGAAGATGGGGCTGAGTCGAGTCGCTGTGTCCTTGGCCATGGTGTTGGCCGCGGGACCCCGGGCAGCAAGAGCCCCCGGCCTCGCCTTGGGTGTTTGCCGGGTGAGCTCTCGACCCACCCCTCCCTGAGTGGAAGTTGTCAGTGAGCAGAGATGTCAGACGGGCTGGCGGCGGCGGCGGGGGGTAACTAACATACGTGTGGTCAGGGACTTTTAACAGATATACGGGGACACACCGAGACGAAAGGGCGAGACGCACGTGAACAGAGAGACACGCAGAGAGAGACACACAGAGACTGAGCAAGTGGCATATACATGCTGTGCAGAGTGTTCGGCCGAGCTGAATTTGAGCCGGAGATATCCCCCGGTGCTGAGCTCCGGAAACAATATTTTTTGTTTGTATCTGTAGACCCAACAGACGCGCGCACATACACGACTAGAAACACGAGGTACAGACACGCAAAGAGGTGCAAGCCACAGAGGCGTAGTAGACCCCAGTCTGGGGGTGGGTGCTCGCGGTATCCCCGAGAGAAACGGGGACATTGTCAACTTGCGCCCGTTCCACGTGCGTCCAGTACAGGGAGAGGTCACGCTCTACGTGCAGTGTCACGTTAATTGTTGTGTCTGTGGATTATACGTGTGTGGGTTTGTGAGTGCGGGGAGCGGTGGTGGAGCGGTTAGCGCTACGCTGCGCCACGAACCCGGCCACCCGAGTTCGATTCCCGCTCACGGCCAACACCAAGTGACGATTATCTGAACCGGTCTTGTCCCCTCAAGGTCGACTCAGCCTCAAATAAGTACCTGGCGTAGCGGTGTGTGGTGCTGGCCACCCAGCCCCTCACGTGCCACACTGCCGGCCTTCATAGGTGCTCGTTATCAGCACTTGCCCCCAACAGTCTCTGTTACAGGCTATACGGGGGGGGATCTTTGTGTTCACCTTTTGTCGAGAACTGTTTTTAAAATGTATGATACATGCAATGAATTGGTGCAACAAGTAACTTATTGTCATGTGATGCTTTGGTCTGTGCAGCCGATTCACTAATACGGGTACTTTGTGTGAATGAATCAAGAGTTTTATTGTCAAATTAATGATCGCAGTTACCTTTCCCGTGAATAACATACTTTTGGGCCAGTGGCTCTTGCTTATTTGTAAGTAAAAGTGACGGATGAGATAGGATTAAATATAGCCTTATAAATAGTAACGAGAGGGTTGGATGCCCTTGAGAAACGTGATAACCCACAGAAGGTCACAGCGCAGAAAGAAGTGATTTGAGAGTGGGCTGATTAAGTGGACGAAGTGAATTAAGATTATTGTTGGGGGGCATCTCTGGGGAGTTCATGCCATGAAAAGAAGTCTGCAGGTGTGTTTGAATGTGTTGGAATGACTCCAACATGGGTTTATCTTAAATAGCTGAGTTAAGTTTGTGTTAACACAAGCTTGGTTGTCAAAGTAGCAAGTGCAAACAATTGTGGATTATCCTGAATAATTTTCTGCTGAAGTCTTTGGCCATGTCCATAATAATCATAACTTATGTGATAGTTTTATGCATTTACCGAACTTTGACATGAGTGGGAGGATATTGTTACAAATTAAAACAGGTTACAGTATTTGATTATGTAATCGAATCGTGACCCCGAATCGTGGGGTCACCCCCCCTCCCCCCATGACTTGACACCTACACCACCGTTTGACATTTAAATATATTTTATTTGCTTAATTGCAATTGATGTATGTTTGTAACGTTCCTTAATTCTTGCTAGCCTGTTGGTTCTATGGTGCCTGACATAGGCAGCAGGACTATCTACATTGGGGCCCGGCCATGACGAGGTGACCAGGGCTAAGTTGGCTGCACAAGAATGGGAGAAACATGGGATCAACAAACCGACGATCTTCTCCAAGATCATCAGCCGAGAGATTCCGGCTGACATCTTACATGAGGACGACATGGTGTGTCTGCTAAATCTTGAATTGTAGTATCTGCTGTGATATGTTTTTGGTTTATCACCATCATCAGCCATGCTATCATTTTTTTTTCTATTTTCTGATTCATAATTGATTCTTGGGTTAGGCCATATTATATCGCCAAACAAATAGTAATGTGTACAAGCGTTAAGCACACCGATCATTATTATTATTTAAGCTCGTCGGTAAGTTGAACAATTATCACAACCAAATGTAGCAATTTTGATACGAAGTTTTGCTTGAAACTACGTTAGGCTTCTTCAGCATAATCCAAGTCAGAATGTTTCTATTTTCTATTGGTTTAGGTAAAGCCTTATTAAATTTCACTTTTTAGAGTAACAAAAATAGTGATGATTTTTAAGGTCAGTAAATGTACACTTTTTTTGAACATCTGCCAAGGTTGTGGTCTCTGGGGGACTAATAAATAGTGTCAAGCATTTAGCTGACACTTTTGGAACTTGGGTTCAATTCCAGTTAACCACCCACCCATGGTTATACCGGGCTTTCAAGCTGAACCTGGACACCAATGACTGCATGTGTCGCGGCATCGTTGAGCGCTGTGTGCGATTGTCACGACTCGTAGCCTGTAGTAACGGCCCCCGGTCAACAGGGGGCGGAAGGGAGGCTAATGGAGATGAGTCGGGCTGTTGGGCCAAGGTAACCCCCAGGGTCGCACGTGACCAGAGGTGCAGACCCCCAAGAGGGGGGCTGGGGGATAAAGTCACACTCCAAGCCTCTCTAGATGGTTCTAGAAGGGAGGAATGGCTAGGGGTGGAGTGAGCCAGGAACTTGGTATAAAAGCCAGACCCCTGAACGGGACCGGCAGTTGTCGTCCACTCGAAGATCAAGAAGCTGCCCTGAAGACCTAGGAGCCGGAGCCGGACCCGAGGACCTTGGCTGGGTCGGGTTCGAGCAGCCCGGCGGATAGGACCCGAGGACCTTGGCTGGGTCGGGTCAGTGTAGCCTCCCCTAGACCCTGATAGCAGAGGACTCTATATAGATTGGTCCCGAGTGTATACGGCACGCCAGTGAGGAGGATGTACCTCCCTAGTGGAAGGGGCCGTACCCCTTCGTGTTCTGTATTGTTATTTGTAAAATAAACGTGTTGCCTCTAAAGATACGTCTCCCTCTAGTTTGTACCTACTACACATGTAAGAAAATGTTATTTTAAATGTGTGTTTTCCTGTAGTTCAGATGGTCACAGCTCTGCGAATTAAGAAAGTTGGTTCGATAGATACATGATTTGTGGGCATATAAAAAGAGTGCAACTGGTGTGGAAGAGAAATATCTATAAATTCTGATATGTTAAACATATATTTTGTTTGCTGCTGTACTGTCAATGCGTTGACTTATAAATGTCCTGTTGGTGAATGCAGTGTCTGGCGTTTCGCGACATCAGCCCGCAGGCTCCCACACATTTCCTCGTCATCCCCAAGCTCCGCATTCCCCGCATCAGCCAGGCACAAAGCCAAGACACCCAGGTCTCCCTCATACCACTCACTAATTATGTTGTGAAAACTATTAAATGAGGTCATGTATTGCCTGTGTATTTTTGTCAAGAAAAAAATATAATAATACAATTCTAAAAATAAAGTTCATAATTATCATATTTTTTTCTATCTACGTGATTTTACCGAAAGAACCAGAGAATATAAATTCTTGCAGTCACGAAAGTTTTAAGTGAAAATTCAATTGCCCCTGTTATATCCGTCTTTTGCAGCTTTTGGGCCATCTTCTCTTCATTGCAAAAACCCTTGCAAAGAAGGAAGGGCTGGATAATGGGTACAGAGTTGGTGAGTAAAGAGACATTTCATACATCAACAAATACAATTATTTCAACTCATTACATAACCATGAAAGTACCTGGTTGGCATCAGTTAGGAAAATTACCTCTGGGGTATAATTGTGGTACTTAAGTGTTTTGTTCGAAATATTTTCTTTTGCAGCTGCTGTGTGAGACCATTACCAGGCCCATGCAGTTGAACATTCATGTGATTAGCATAGATGGGTTTTATTATTTTCTTCTTGTAAAATATTTCTAGTAAATGGCACTTAGTTGAATGAAACCTTTTAACGCTGCTGAAATACTTCCCATAAATGTTTATACTTTCAGTGTACCATTCTCTTTACATCTTTGATACCTATATTCCCATGTGTACTTGCAAAATACTGTACTCTATTTTTGGGGTATAACAATTGCCCTGCTCGTGATGGAATGATTTTTCACTATTCAGGATTCTGATTCAACTAAATAATTTCCTTTTTGAACATTAGTTGCAGCAGCATCAAGTGGTGGGAAGAACTATGTGATCCTGATACATAATGTATATATATTAATATCAAATAATCGATACTTACACATGTGCTTTGGTGTATTGTGATCTTAGCAATTTGTTTAATTATGAATTAAACTATTATTATACCCCTACTATATATTAAATCTGTTTAATTGGGATTCAACGATGTATTGATTAATCAATTATTACAATTCTAGGACTTTCGATGCGTGCATCAAATTAATCGAATCGCTGTGGCGGTGAATAGTTTTACGTGTCTACTGATGTATGTTTACGGGTGTGTATATGTTTCTGAATATGGTAAAGGATCAGTCTTGTGTGTGTGTGGGTTATCTCGCAGTGATCAATGATGGACCGGATGGATCTCAGTCTGTCTATCACCTGCACGTGCACGTTATTGGGGGCCGTCAGATGCTGTGGCCGCCTGGCTAACTGCTACCCCCCACCGTCTTCCTGTGAAGAACGTTCTCAGTAGAGAGAAGAAATGGCTATTTTTGGCGATATTTAATTAATTAGTGTTGGGAGCTTGTACAAAATGACCAAAGATTTGGGGTATGTCTCTTCTTGTTTGTTGGATTGTTGGCTTGATTGGTCGGGGTGAGAGGTTGTTACCGGCAAGGAGAATATTTTTCCTTCAAGGGGGCTTGCATAAATATTCAATTAATAAAGTTTTTGTTTTAAACATGTCTTATGACAGTATCAATTACTGCACATGTATAACTGAACAGCAATAAATATATGCCGAATGCATTGTACTGCCTTCACATATACAATGACATAATAATAAAAAAAAACTTTTTATGCATTTGTAATTTGTATTTGTATGTTTTACCCACGACTGGATGAGGGCCACCCCCATGCAATGTCGGTTGTGTCTCTTTTTTAAAATAATATTTTACTTTCCGAGTCAGTATGGGTTGGTGAAGGTGGGGAGCGTAGATGTGGGACCATAATACACTACAACAGTGGGCTTTGCTGCGCTACCTCCTATTGCCAACAATGTAGCCTCGCAGCACCATATATACTGTTGTACCATTGTTATGCTTGTCTATACAGTAAGTTGTACTGTAAGTCTTCGTGATGGAAATTTAATCAGGGTCCAGATGCGAATACTGTAATTTTATTTTGGGCAGACATTTTATATTCCTGGATTAGTCATAGAAGGCGATGCAGGATTTTACTGAATACGGGTAATCTTGTACTGATTGTACACTTGGCATTTGGGGAATGCTTGTTTTTTTGTTTTCAAACGTTAAACAGCATTTGGCGAAATGTACGTTACACCAGGAGAGGGCAGCCTAACTTGTTATTTCATGAAGCAATGTAGTGTCAAAGGAAAACTGACTGGCATGTATTTTTGGTAAAGGTCTGACGCGTCGCGAAACTTCGATCATCATGCCGTACAGCATACCATACATCCCTAAACAGCCGAAAGCTTTACAGCACAACAGCAACATCCTACATTTTGATTAAAAAAAATAGATGTACAAGCTGGACCTCCAGCTTGAACATATAAATACAATAATCCTTCGTGTGACCACTTGATAGCCAATAAAACAAACCAGCTGTGCACAGTCATCAGTGATGTTTGGCAGCGCTTCTAATTTGACTTATTTGTTTTCGTAGCTTGAGTTTATTTGTGCGTGCTGAGGTCGAGGATAGCGCTTAAATTGTTTACAAAATGGTCTTGCTTGTTTACAAGAACGTCCTGTTGGAGTATGATTGACTAATCTTCTAATTTGGGATGTAATTCCCTGGCTCTTGCTGGAATGTAATTTAATTGCTAATGTGAGACGAACTAATGAACATTTCCCATATGCAACGTGTTTCAACTTCAACGCACTCCGTGGAATGGGTGTATTTAGATAATGCCATTATAAAATTGTCACTGTTGGCTTCAAGCTATCCTCCCTTGAAACAAATTCTTACATGTATATGAGATGCCATAATTACTTTCCGAAATGTAGAGATATTTTCTAAGCCTTGTTAAGTTTTTTTTATATCTTTCCCCATTGCATGGAGGTGGCATTTAATTAAATGTTGCAATAATAATGTCGAGAACAGTCCACTCTTTATGCTGCAGGGGAAATACATGGAAATGTTGAGGTCATTGGTAGCATAACTACAATTTGATGTTCCAGGTATTTTCTAGAGAAACTAAGTGGTCCTTTAAGTAATTTGCAGTTTTGTTTAAGAGGACCTTTGGAATAAAGACAGCTCAGTGCTACTGTTAATGCAGTGTCACCTTTTTCGTGTAGCAGTTACACACGAGTGTTATCCATATTTTATATGTACTGTAAAGTCGAAATACAACCTTACCTCACAATGTAGAATTGCATTTGCATAAGTACAGTATAAGAATGAATACTGCAGTAGAGCATTTAGTGATACCGTTAAATAGTGACATCAATATTGGCATGCGAGGCCTCCAGAAGTGTTGAGGGGCAGGAGGCTGAAGGGGAGAATGTGCTCAAAATACTCTATTGTTTATTTGGTAGTTCTATGATTATGTGCTAGCACAGATGTGCATGACCAATGTATTGCGTGATGACATTTTGGAAAGAGACATTCCCTAGACTGAGTCATGTGGTACAAAATATAAACTTGCAGCCTTACAATTGCTTGCTCACGCTACTCCTGGCGGAAGTCTCTGCTCGAAGCTGTAGAGTGCTCTAATCATCATCATCATAGGCTATCCCTCGCAATCGAGGATGATTGTTTTCCATAGAAAAGTTGGATTATCTCTGGGTCCGAAGATGGCTGAAGAGACTGATCCTGGATTGACAGATTTTGCCGCAGCTCCGGCACATGTGTCCAGAAAGAGTGGTGCGTGGAACTGGATTAGTAAGTTGGACTGCAGCGTGCTGTTTTCGCTGCTCCCACTTTTCCTGTTTCTGCCATTGAGTTTGGATCCTTGAAATAGACTCTGTCTCCATCTGAGGTGACCCTGGGCAAGAGTCTCTCATGATTTGGTGTCGATTGTGCACTTCATGTTGGCCTTGTTACACACGAGTGCTTTCTCTGCGCTCCTCATGAACGCACACCCCGACTATGATACTATAGCCAGATACTATAACCAGAGACTATAGCCAGATACTATAACCAGAGACTATAGCCAGATACTACAACCAGATACTACAGCCAGAGACTAAAACCAGATACTATAACCAGATACTATAGCCAGATATTATAGCCAGATACTATAACCAGAGACTAAAACCAGATACTATAGCCAGATACTATAGCCAGATACTATAGCCATTTACTATAGCCAGATACTACAGCCAGATACTATAGCCAGATACTATAACCAGAAACTTAAACCAGATACTATAACCAGAGACTATAGCCAGATACTATAGCCAGATACTATAACCAGATACTATAGCCAGATACTATAACCAGAGACTATAGCCAGATACTATAAGCAGAGACTATAGCCAGAGAAGAGGTAGTGGAGGCTCTGGGGAGCATGAAACTTCAAAAGGCAGTGGGGCCAGATGAGGTTCCAATTGATGTGTTTAAATTAATGGGAGAAACGGGTGTTGAAATACTGATGGGGCTGTTTGGGAAAATCTGGATGGAGAAGAAAATGCCGGATTCGTGGAGAGGGAGTACATTGGTTCCCATCTTTAAAGGGAAAGGTGATGTACAAGAGTGTGGGAACTACAGAGGAATAGCATTGATGAGTCACACCATGAAACTCTGGAAAGGATCATAGATTACGTAAGCTGGTGGATATTGGCAAGTCAGATTAGATTCAGACAGGGAGGGTCAACAATGGATGCCATCTTTGCACTGAGAGTATTGATGGAGAAGTTCAGAGAGAAGAAATGGCACCTACATATGGTTTTATGGCTCTAGAGAAAGCGTACGACAGGGTGCCTAGAGAGCTCACCTGGTGGTCTATGAGAAGAAGAGGTATTCCTCAGGTATATGTCCAGCTATTCCAGGATATGTATGAAGGAGGGAAAATGCACGTGCGACGCAGCTGTGGAGTGTCAGAGAGCTATAAAATCAAAGTGGGAGTGAGTCCCGTCCTGCTCATCCTGGTGCTGGACAACCAACCGAGAGACATTCAGAGGGAGCCCCCCTCGTGTACGCTGTTTGCAGACGACATTGTGCTATGCGGTGAAAGCAGAGGGGTAGTGGAAGATGATTTGAAGATCTGGGTGAAAAGAAATTGAAGGGATTGGGTTGAGGATTAGTCGGGCAAAGACTGAGTATATGGTGGCAAGTTTCAGTGGAAATAATGCAGGATTGCAAATTGGAAGTAACCAGTTAATGAAGACGAACGAGTTTAAGTACCTGGGTGCAACGATGTGGTACTGATGGGTCACTAGAAGGATAGATAAGAACAAGGCCTGGATGGCTAAAATGGCGAGAGATGACCGGTGTGGTGTGCGATAAGAGGGTCCCAGATTGGATGAAGGGAAAAGTGTGTAGTGTATAGTGTAGTGTATAGTAGTGTATAGTATAGTACAATACGGTGGTGAGGCCGGTGCTGTTGTATGGGGCCGAGTGCTGGGGCACAAGAAAGAGGGAGGACCAAGCTATGGCAGTCACAGAGATGAGGATGTTGCAGTGGATCTTGGGTTTAACAAGGAACGACAGGGTGAGAGGAAGACTCAAGGTGATATAAATCACATACAAGATGAGAGAGAAAAGGCTGGTGTGATTCAGTCATGTGGAGAGACAGCAGGAAGACGACGTGGATCTTAAGGTGCAAGTGAAAGGAAAGAGATCAGGAAGAAGGCAGAAAAAGAGGTGGGGCGATGTGGTGTGATCGGACCGTGGTGGCCCGAGGAGCGGAAAGAGATATGGCAAGGACAACGGAACACCCCACATGAGTGGGACCAACGCGTGGAAGAAGAAGAAGGAGGAGAAGAAAGGCTTTTGTGAGGTCAAAGAGGGCCATGTGGAGAGGTTTGTGTTGTTCCTGACGTTTTTCCTGCAGTTGACGGGCAGTGAAGATCATGTCAGTTGTGTCTCTCGATAGCGTGAACCTACATTGGAATTCTGGGAGGAGTTCATCAGCAATTGGCATAAGACGTTTCAGGAAAGTTCTTGCAATGATCTTTCCTACAAGCCGATCCCCCTACAATTTCACAATCGTATTAATCTCCTTAAAGATTGTCACAATCATTGCATCCCTGAGGCCGTTAACCCATGGGTGTGGGCACGTATGCTTATTATAATTGCGGCCTATACTTGCCACGCCACAGCTTTTCGAGAGGAAAAGCATTACCATCTGCAGTCCTGAACATACCCTGCTGGTGCTGTCTCAGATGAGTGGACATTTCAATAATGCTCTCCCCCCCACCTCGTTTCTTAAGCACAATTCCGCCAGACGAAGTGGAAGAAGTGGGAGTATCCACAGTTGAACCAACTACAGTAGACACAACCAACCGATCGACCTCATGTGTGGTGTACCCATTTATACTGCCGGGCGGACAGACATTGGAGGGTGGGGAGGGGTGATAAAATGTGTTTTATTAATAGTTTGAACTGCCATGCCCGGAAAATAATCGAATCGGTGACCTCTGGATTTTCAGTCCACGGGGCTAACTATTGCACCATGGCAGATCAGTGACAAAAAACAAGTGAGAGGTTTATTGGTGCGAAGGATGTCGGTGCTTCCTGCAAACCATGAATGCCTCCTGTGTCTGGGCTGCACAGTTGCTCAACAGCAGATGCAGTTGCTGAATTGTATGTATGTATATTGAGCTTCTTTCGCACCGAATTCGTGAAGTCACCACCGGTGGGTGTCTCTTCTTGAAGCTGATTTGACTGTCCAGCATGTCCCAGTTTA